CCGAACTGTAAGAGAATAAACTTCCGTTTGTTTAAGCCATCCCATTCGTGGTATATTCTTGTCAGAGCGGCACTATGTAACCAGAACACAAGCCGTGGTATTTTGAACTCATTTTTTGCAGCCACTGTGTCAATCCATCCCCTTGAAGGTCTTCCCCCTTTTTTGCTGATACTGAACTTTACCAAATATGATGCCCTTCTCCAGGGACAATTAATAAGACCAAGGAAGAGTTGATGCACATGTATTACGATGTTGTCAAAGAATACAGAATACACCACAGACTGCTGGAAGAACAAACTAATCTGTCTTAGAAGAAGTACAGCCAGAATGCTCTCACAAGTGAGGATGGTAAGACTTCGTCTCTCGTACTTTGATCATGCTATCATGACTATGTTATCAGGAGGAACCAGTCCCTAGAGAAAGGTATCAAGCTTGGTGAAGCGGAGCATCAGCAAAAAAGGGGAAAATCCTGAAGCAGATGGACTGACACAGTGGCTGCAACAATGGGCTCAAAACAGCAATGATTGTGGGGATGGTGCAGGACTGGGCAGCGTTTTATTCTGCTTTACACAGGGTGGCTATGACTCAGAACCAATGGCACCTAACAACAAACACTACCACAAAGTTTAATGTTAAAAGCTGTCTCCAACTTCATTGCTTGGAAACAATTAGAAAACTACACAGGACATTCATCTGCTAAATACTATACACCTTCAGAGCTGATATGGAAATTGCTTTAAAAGAGCTAATACTATCACACTGCAAATGACTAAGAAAATGCACAACACTAATTTTAGAAAATGTCTTTAGGCTAGAGAATAATTTACATCTACAGAGAGTTCAAATATGCTAACAAGTTCTATTTTTGCCATAATTTAATATTCAAATCCTTAAATATCTCTATTGACAACCAAAATAAACTACTTAAAAATTTGGGAGAGGAATAGGAAGAACAACTCATCTCTAATAATCTAGATTATTTTCACTAAAAAGTAATCTTTCAGCTTGATTTGTGTGTGTGTGTGTATGAAGAGAAAAAGATGCAAAGAACGATGACAGTGATGTTTATAGAATGAATTATCTGTTGTTGTTCTTATGTGCCATTGAGTCGATCCCGACTCATAGCGACTCCTCCTTGGGTTTCCAAGGCAGTATCACTACGGAAGTAGGTTGTCCAACCTTCCTTCCAAGGAGTGGCTGGTGGGTTTGAACCACCAGCCTTCTAGTTAGCATTCAAGTAGTCAATATAATAAAATTGTCCTCAACAAATAACAACTTGTTTATACTGGTTTCCAGTAGTAATAAAAGTCTTGACAATTGACTTATTTTATTTCATTCACTATTCCTGATGATCAACAGAATATACTTATGTACTTCATTTTTTTTTAAATGAAAGATAAGACTATAGCACAGGGTGTGGTTCTAGGAATGAATGAAATAAATAGGTTTATTTACAACTAAAAGCCATGATTCTGGTATCACTGTCACTAAACTCAAACCAAAATGATTTATCTACAATGAGAAGAAGGAAGGTCGGGCAATCCTACGTCCATAGTGATACTGCCTTGGAAACCCAAGGAGGGGTCGCTATGAGTCAGGGCTGACTCGAGGGCACATAACAACAACAACACAATGAGAAGAGATTATCTCAGTGAACAGAACTCAATTAACGCAGAGCCATGAAATTAAGACTGAAGAATTAGTATCTGATCTAATAAGCAATTCAGTATCACTTTAAGTTTCTTAGCTAGAGGAAAGATTTTCAAAGTGATGTTCATAAGGGACTAGATGGAAACCTTAAGAGGCAGTAATCTAGGTGTATAGTAATAAATACCTAAAACAGAGCAAGTAAATAACGTAAGCAGAAGACACAGTGAGGAAGGAAGAAATAAGGAATTTATAGGGGACAGCAAACTAGCCTGTAGGCCAAATCTGGCCCTCTCTTTACTTCTGCAAATAGTTTTATTAAAAGATTTACTATACAGCCCTTTTCAGAAAATCTACCAAACCAGATTTAGAAGAACAAAAATTAATCCAAAGTAGTGCCAGAAATGCCAACTGACAAATAGGAGAGAAGGAATTTGGTTTTTGATGTACTAAATTCAAAGGAAAAGTAAGACTAAAGATGTCAGGTAGAAAGCAATGCATGGAGTCTGGAATGTGAACTTGTGGCTTGGAGATGAAGGAATTATAAATAAATTGAAAATGGTTTAGCATTTTCAAGGTAAGTTTATCATATGTTGTTGTTGTTATGTGCCGTCGAGTCGGCCCCCCGACTCATAGCGACCCCTCCTTGGGTTTCTGAGGCAGTATCACTACGGAAGTAGGATTGCCCAACCTTCCTTCCGAGGAGTGGCTGGTGGGTTTGAACCGCCAGCCTTCTGATTAGCAGTCAAGTGCTTTAGCCATTATGCTACCAGAGCTCCCTAGTTTATCATATAGCAACTCAAAAACTGATCTTAAGAGAATGTCATTGTTACACTAACAATGTAATTGGATAAATATCTGATACAGAATGTCACTGTGAGATACCATTAGTTATTAAGGTAGAAATTAACATAAAGTAGTATCATAAATTTAACAAAAAGCATTTCAACAGTGATAAATACAACAAAGAGGCTGAAGAGGCCTGAAAAATAACCCAAGGATTTGGTTAAAATGAGAACACTGCCAAGAAAAAACAAAATAATAAAATAAATTCAATGCAGAAAATAAGTGGGAAACCAGACTAAGGGAAAGATGGCAGTGCTTAAGAAATAAAGGCAGTAGGTACAGTGGGTCATTACATTAGTGGACTCCAATGAACCACAGCTGCTGCTATTGTGGACCGCTGAAAGAGAAGGCCAAAGGGACCCCTGCTGAAAACTGCAGAACTTTAACAAACTAGTAGGCATGATTAAAGTGCACATTAATCGTAATGACTAACGTGCTAGAGGCCCCTCTGCCCCCTGCTTTTGCTTTCTTTTAAGTAAACAGAATAGCCAATCTTCTTATGAACACTGAGTTCTTTGTTGTTGTTGGGTGCCATCGAGTCATCTCCGACTCACAGAGACTCTATGTACAACAGAATGAAACACTCCCCAGTCACGTGCCATCCTCACAATCCCTGCTATACCTAAGCCCATCGTTGTAGCCACTGTGTCAGTCCATCTCATTGAGGGCTTTCCCCTCTTTCGTTGACCCTCCACTTTACCAACATGATATCCTTCTCTGGGGAATGGTCCCTTCTGACAACATGACCAACGTTAGTGAGACAAAGTCTGGCCATTCTTGCTTCCAAGGAACATTCCTGCTGTACTTCCAAGATAGATTTGTTAGTTCTTCTGGTAGTCCACAGTACTTTCAGTATCCTTCGCCAAAACTACAACTCAAAAGCATCAGCTCTTCTTCTGTCTTCCTTATTCACTGTCCACCTTTCACATGCATATGAGGCGACTGAAAATACCATGGCCAAGGTTAAGTGCACCTTAGTCTTCAAAGAGACATATTTGCTCTTCGACATCTTAAAGAGGTCTTTTAAAGCAGATCTGCCCACTGCAATACGTCATCTGATTTCTTAACTGCTGCTTTCATTGGTGCTGACTGTAGAACCAAGTAATATGAAATCTCTGACAACTACAATCTTTTCTCTGTTTACTGTGAAGCTGTTTACTGGTCCAGTTGTGAAGATTTTCATTTTCTTTATGTTGAAGTTAATCCATACTGCAGACTGTAGTCTTTAATCTTCATCAGTAACTGCTTACTGAGTTCTTTAGGTTTATTACTTTCAATTATACATTTTTCTAAGCATAACTCTCTTCCAGGTCTAGTTTCAACGGAGGACCGTAGTCTACAAAGCAAGATAACCCTGAGAAGAGGAACACCAAGTCCAGAGAAACCATGGAAAAGAAGAACAAAGACATTCCTGGCAGCCCAAGAGATCTTGAACCCGCTTCCCATCTCCCTACATAATCATGCCTTTCCCTTTGCTCAGCGAGATAGACTTTTTAGAGTAATGACTCTCTCAGTCTCCCTGGGAATCAATACTCCTTAAATCTTTTCCTTTTCCACTACAACCTATTGTGGCATTTGGCCCTACTTGCAGCAGGTGGTAAGAACCTAGTTGTTCTTGCATCAATATTATGCCCTTGTATAATTCTTTCCCACTTAGGCTCTGAGCTTAGCAAAGTGATTTGCTTTGGCCAATTTGTTGTTAGCAAGCACTGGCAAGCAGAGGCTTGATAAGCACTTGCACATGGAAACTTGTCTTCTTGGAATACTACCACTTAGAAGATAGTCATCATGCTGTAACGAAGCTTGAGATAGACTCCTGAATGATGGGAGGAAGTGTAGAGAGAGACCTTCACAGATAAGAAACCATCTTAAATCTAGTACGAGAAGAGCTCTCAAATAAATGTAGTCCCATACCAAGGAGAACAGAAAAACTGCCCAGCTTAATCCAGTTGACCAAAGAACAGGAGAAATAATAAACTGTCACCATTTTAAGCCATTAAATTTGAAGTGGTTTATAAAACAGGAAGGAACTGTGGTGGTGTAGTGGTTAAGGCATTTGATTGCTAACCAAAAGGTCAGTGGTTCAAACCTACCAGTTGCTTTGCGGAAGAAAGATGAGGCAATCTGCTTCCGTAAAGATTTTCAGGCTTAGAAACCCAATGGGGGTCACTATGAGTCAGAATCAACTCGAAGGCAGTGAGTTTGGTTTGGTTTGGTTTATAAAGCAGTAGTATATAACCAATACACAGTCAGAAAAAGACATGTGTTTGAAGAAATTCAAGAACATGAGACTAAGGATTCTTATAAAATTTAGAAGACTTATATGCCTATGACAAAAAAAAAAAAAACACGCAAATAGAGAGGGTACAATTAACATATAATAAGAAAAACTAAAGATGCGGAAGATGAAGGAGTTGAGTCATATCAGAGATAATGGAAAATGTTACAACTAAAACTTAGTCATGCTAAGAATCTTAAACTATTAGGGGAAAAGATCTTCCACCTACTTCATCACTTTCATCAACTTCAATTCCACCATCTTTGTCATCATCCATTTGTTTATGTATTGTTTGAAGAGCTTCCAGACTAAATCTATCTTCTTCTGTAAAGCATGGTGGACTCAGTGACATGCAGGGATCTGAAATAGAACAAAGGGTAATTACTAACTTGCCACACCGAAACACAGGCTATAATTAGAGAATTTAAAGGAAAACAAAATCAAACTTCGGATTAAATCAAACTAAGCTCTGGTAGCATAGTGGCTAAGGCACTTGACTGCTAAGCAGAAGGCCAGCGGTTCAAACTCACCAGCCACTCCTCGGAAGGAAGATGGGACAATCTATTTCCATAGTGATACTGCCTCGGAAACCCAAGGAGGGGTCAATATGGGTCGGCTCCGACTTGACGGCACATAACAACAACAACAAAGAGGCTTTAAAATGTCTAGCAGAGTATTCTTCACATCAAGAGTAAAATGTATGAACACAATTGATGAAAAGTAAATAATCCAATCTAACTGAGGAATTACACCAGTACTAACAATTCAAGTTATCCACATTCTTCCACATCTTTACCCATCTTCTCCTTACTTAACCCATTATATTTACTAAATATTCTTCCTTAAAAAAACAAATGATCCTGACCCCCCCCCTCAGGGGGTAGAGAAGAAGGGGGAGGGGTGGTATAAAAATCACAGACTACAAGATTCTATTTTTGAATAATCCAACTGAATTAAAATGTAAATTCTAGGAAAATGCCACAAAGAATACAAGAAAAGGAAATGCAGGATATTCGCATGACCCTTAAAAATTTTTTTTTTCATTTTTCTATTGAAGAGAATCTAAAAGTACATCCTTTTGACTTTTCTATATATACATAATCTCTTAGGTTCAGCAAAGGAAAAGAAAAAAACTTAATTTTTTGTAATCTAGTTCCCCACGTTTTCCTTAATATATTTGTTAAATCTTTTCTAATGGAGAAAGTTCTAAAGGGAAGTATGAATCCTTCTCAGTTGTCAAAAACTAACAATTTAGTAAGAATGTGAGTTTTTCATGGCTCAATCAAACTGATGAAAATTACCTCTTGTTGACTCAACTAATAAAGAGCCTATACACCAAATGGAAAGTACTGCCAAAGCTTTACTTACACCTATCATCTGGCTAACTGGAAGACCAACAAATTCCAGGACCTTACTTTTACTAAGTCCCTAATTTAATACTCTTTTAAAATGCCATCAAGAGATATATATTTCTACAGAAGTGTATTGTGGTTAGTATAATAGAGGATTTAATCACAATTTGATTATCTCTTCAACAACAGTTAAAAATCTATTATATCACTCTGGGCCTGTTATGAATTAACTGTCTGACTGTGGATAAATCATTTGTCCTGTGTCTTAGTTACATCATCTGTTACGGATTCAATTTTTTCCTCCCAAAATATGCGTCAATTTGGCTAGGCCATGATCTCTGTGGTTTGGCAGCTTTGTGGTGATGTAATTTGACAATTATATAATGATGTAATCATCCCCATGACACGATCATATGTAATTATCTTCCATTTGTGATGAGTTTTAAATCCTGACCTATGTGTGTTATTAAGGCATTCTGGCGGAGCAGTTATCAACACATCTGGCTGACAACCCAAAGGCTGGCAGTTAGAACCCACCAGCCACTCCAAAGAAGAAAGATGAGGCAATCTGCTTCTGTAAAGATTTACAGTCTCAGTAACACTACAGGGCAGTTCTACTCTGCCTACAGTGTCCCGAGGAGTCAGAACTGACTGGATGGCAGTGGGTTAAGTCGTTTGGCTTATGGGTTAATGAGGGAGGATGAGGTCATATTTGTTTTGTTAATGAGGCAAGACTAGGGTGGGATGAAATACCCTTACTCAGGTCAAAGCAATGATCTAAAAGGAGTTTCCAGGGGGATGGCCTGCATCACTTTTTATCTTACAAGAGACAGAAGGAAAGAGAAGCGACCATAAAGAAAGAAGAGGAGGGACCTCAGTAGCAGCAAGAAAGAAGAACTAGGAGCAAAGCACACACTTGGGACTCAAGGCCCCTGTGCTGAGAACCTCCTAGACCCAGGAGAAGACTAATGCCAAGGCACATGGTGATCTCTAAGGAACATCTGGCCCACAGATGTTGAAAGGAGGCAAGGATCTTCCCCTAGAGCCAGCAGAGAAGCGTTCCCCTAGAACTGGTACCCTGAACTTGGACTTCTAGCCCCTTAAACTCTGAGACAATTGCTGTTTTTTAAAGACATCCCCGGCTGAGGTATTTCTGTGATAGCAGCGCTAAGACCAAACAAAACAAAACAAAACAAAAACCCACTGCCATCGAATTGATTCTGACCCATAACAACTGCACAGGTCAAAGCAGAACTGCCCCATAGGGCTTCTAAGGCTGTAAAGCTTCATGGAAGCAGATTGCCTCATCTTTCTCCCATGGAGTGTCTGGTGGGTTTGAACCACCAAACTTTTGGTTAGTAGTCCAATGCCTTGGCTATTGCACCACCAGAGCTCCTAGATTACTAACACATCTCTAAAATAAAGCGAGTAAACCAGATGCTTATTAAGGTGCACTGCAGCTATAAAAGCCTAAGAATATCTAATTCTGTGCTTAGAGGGGGAAAAAAGAAAATTTGCAAATAAAGTAATTGAGACTCATTAATAACTTATTTTCTAAAAAACATTCCAAACCACTGCTTATTTCTTATGTTCCAGATATAGCCAAAAATATATTTTGGTAATTTAATATTTTTAATAGTTTTAGTTCAAAATCTAATTTTGATTTCTTTACTCTTGAAGAAAACAGAAGGGAGAAAGAAACTAATGAAAGTGGAAAACGCAATTTTAAGTTATGTGTATATATCAGCCACTCCTCGGAAGGAAGGTTGGGCAATCCTACTTCCGGAGTGATACTGCCTCGGAAACCCAAGGAGGGGTCGCTATGAGTCAGGGCTGACTCGACGGCACACAACAACAACAACAACATGTACATATAGAAACTTTTAGAATGCTGATTAAAATCTGCTAAAATCTAAAACTTATAGCGGTCAATTATACCCCTAATCACAAAAGAACCAGAACACTTACATGCTCAGGAGTTCATATTTATTTGTAGGTATTCTGAATGGATGCAGAACAAAAGATAAGCTCTCAGGTACCACACAACATATGGTATAAGGAAGATCTGTATACGATCTATAATTACGTCCAACAAATGTATGTTTCTAAACATATTTTAAAATGAAAAGGTTCACTGCAACTGCCATAGAAGGAAAGGGCCAGCATCACTCACTCTGATTTAAATAGGCTTTGTTGTTAAACTCTCAAGAGTCAACAGGAAGGGCAGTGCAAACCTTATCAAGTAAGAGAAAATTAGGAGCAACACAAAAAGTAAAATTGGTCATTTCTTACTTAAATTAACTTATTTAATAAATATTTATTAACTTATTTAATAAAAGACTCTATTTCAAGGAACTTTTACAAGATGGAATTTCTCCATGAAGCCTTTAATAAATACCATCTCCCAATGATCACTTCAATGATCACTTCTTTCTTCAAACTACAATCTCTCCATTCAACAAACATCTACCGAGCATCTACATAAATGAGGCCCTGGAAATACCCTAACAAAAGAGACAAAAATTCTTCAGAAGGCTTATATTCCAGTGGAGGAGATGGACACAAGATAAATGAGTAAAATATAGAGCATGTTAAATGTGTAAGTATTAAGGAGAGAAACAAACAGAAAAGGCCAGATATAAAATGCCAAGGGATTTGTAATTTTTAATATTTTATTCTGTGATCATTCTGACTAGATCCTTCCTTAATGCTATATTAAACTAATCACTTTATATGTCACTTTGTTCATACAACTAAACTTAAGAGCAAATAGGGGCCCAGTTGTTACATTTGCCAGATCTTCATAATACCCAGGACTTAGCTGGGCATATTCTAGGCCTCTGATAAATTCTAGTACTTCTTACGTTAATTAAGTCACAAACTTCTGGGCATTAGGTAGTAAAGTCATAAAACTGTATCCCTGAATCCAAAAAAATTCAGGCTAGTGAGGAAGAAGGCATGTTGACTCCTGCAATATACTGTGTTAGCACCACTGAGAACATTAGTTGTAGTGTATTACGGGAGCATGGAGAAGGGCACACAATCCAGACTAAGAAAAAGAAGCAATACCTTTCTAGAGGTACCTCTGGGGAGTTTTTAATGACCTGTAGTTGATGACCTTGGAAAGGAGAGAAAAGCATGTCTGGAAGAAGAAACATCTTGTTCAGAGGCATGAAAAGGAACAGTCAGAGAGAAATGTCAATGTTTTAACAGGTCTTAGAGTTCAGAGAGGAGCTCTGGTGGCATATGCCTAAGGCACTTGACTGCTAACCAGAAGGCTGGTGGTTGAAACCCACCAGCCACTCCTCGGAAGGAAGGTTGGGCAATCTACCTCCATAGTGATACTGCCTCGGCAACCCAAGGAGGGGTCACTATGAGTCAGGGCCAACTCGATGGCACATAACAACAACAGAGTTCAGAGAACATACGGTAAAGAAATAAGAGATCTGGCAAGAGACTGGTAAGAAGGGGTCAGATACCTAAAAACTCGGTTTTCCCTAAGAAGGCACTTGGATTTCTGTCTTGAAAACTACCAGATACCATTAAGAGATTTCATTCCGGTGACAGAGGAAGAGAGACGACATGGAGGCAGGTGAGACTGAGAGAGGCACGGCTATCAGGAAGTTGCGCAGCAATCCTGGCAGCACTCAGCAGTCCAGGTTCCAGCAATGGAGAAAGCCCATGGTAAACACCGCTGTAGCATGTGGTGTTTTGCCAGGATGAAGGAGCAAAAAGAAAGGGAAATTCAGGAGGTCAAGATATGGCAAGAGTGGTCCACCTCTCCACGTTAAATTTTATTTCCTTTTGTTACAATGACATAAAGCCTAGAAATCTAACTTAGGATAGCTATGAATTCTTACCTCTATTATCTGTCTTAATATCATTTCATTTCTTTCTCAGTTGTTTCCCTTCTAGGTTAACAAGAGTACAAGTGATCATTTCAGCTCAAATTAGCTGGTCTAAATTTCTTTTAAGATATACTACTTGTTAGAAGGGAGCTCTGGTAGC